GTAGTGCTGTCGCCTCACAGCAAGAAGGTCGCTGGTTCGAGTCTCGGCTCTGTCAGTTGTCGTTTCTGTGTGGAGTTTGTATGTTCTCCCTGCGTTAACGTGGGTTTCCTCCAGGTGCTCCGGTTTCCTCCACAGTCCAAAGACATGTGGTACAGGTGAATTGGGTAGGCTAAATTGTCCATAGTGTATGAGTGTGTGTGTGAATTAATGTGTGTGGATGTTTCCCAGAGATGAGTAGCGGTTGGAAGATCATTCGCTGTGTAAAAATGTGCTGGAGAAGTTCATTCCGCTGTGGCGGCCCCTGATTAGAAAATGAATGAATGAATAATGTTGCATTAGTTAAAGTCTTATTATATATTATTTTATAAGTGATGAGTCATTAATTGGTTAATTGAAAGTTATTTTAAATGATCATCGATGACAGGATTTTGTAGAAATTGACATAAATAAAACAGATCTCACAGTGCCCTAATATACTACAATCTCAAGCAAAAAAACGGAGGTCAGTAAATAAAATGACTTCCACCAAGGTGCAAAACTAACCCTGAAGAAAACTTTTTCTGCCCCGAAATGGAGGAGAACAAAAATCTATAGCAATTCTACAGCTTTGTATAGTCTAATAATGTCCCACCAGCACCCACATCTTTCATCTGCCTTATTGTACTGTTAGAGTCCAATCAAACTCAATCCGGTGTGTTTTTAATAAAGCGATGCCATCACATTCAGTTACCCAGGTCAGGTTCTCGGCTCGCTCTCCTCCTCCTCTGCTTTAACAATCACCAGACAAATGAACAGCTTAACGTCACTTTGTCTTGACGCGTCTCTTCCAATCCAGCCTCCCAAACATCTCATAGCAGGCTGTTGGGTTACACTAATCACTCTCAGTATGGGAGAAACAGCTCCAGAAATACGCGCTCATGACTGCGCTACACAGGCATAAATCAAAGGCATCATTTTATCCAGCCGCTCGGTGATTGTGATGTGTTTGTATGGAGGGGGAAGGGGAAACATCAGCAGGCAGGACTGAGAGGAAAGGATGGTTGCTTGGAAACCCTAGGCGAGAGAGAGATGGAGACAGAGAGAGAGAGAAACAGAAAGAGAGAGGAAGGATGGGAAGAACAAGCGAAGGGGTGAGGAGAGTATACATATAGAGTTGACCAAAGCATTGTTTTGCTTTGATTTGAGGGAAAACAAGTGATGTGGTGTATTGCATTACATGTATATGTCAAATCACAGCGTTTAATACAAACACAAGCACAGTATGGCAAGACGTTTAACATTAAATTTACAAAGTTTTAGATGCTACTTTTTTCTGTTAAGTACTACTTATTTACAGTACAAAGTCCCTTTAAGGCAAGTCATTTCACTTGGCGGCAATCTTTGAATGGCAAGCTACTATTTATTTGAATAGGGAAACATCAAATTCTCCTAAAGGTCAATTCCATGCAAATGTCAACCTTGCCATAAATAATTAAGTTTTTACCAAAACAGCAAAACCCTTTCTAGGTTTTTTGTGTAAGCTTGTATTTTACAGTACTGTAATGCTGCATTCACACAATACGTGGAAGAAGCGTCAAGCATGAGTGATTTACATGTTAAGTCAATGCGAAGATGCAAATAGATATTCTGTGGCGCGAATGACGCAATTCACGCGAATGAAGGATTAGAATGAAGTGATTAGAGTTCATAAAGCACATAAACACAGCTATTCTCTATATAAAATCCATATTAGCCATTTAGCAACGAATCTAGAGTCCATGATGTGAATTCGCATCTATTGTGAGGTGAATTCGACACCTGAAAAAAGCGGATTTGATGCGCGAATTAAGCGAGTAAACTCAATGTTCATCTGTCCATTTACACACGAATAGCATGATTTATCCGCCTGTGCCCTGTTTGGTAATTAAATTGATTAAAACATTCTTTTGTCAAATAAACGATTTTTCTAGAGTCATCCCCCATAATTCTATAGCTCAAAAGTATCGTTTCAGGCACCAATACCATTTAAAAAAAATTGATTTAGCATCGGTATCGAAATAACCCCAAACGATACCCAAGCCTGCCTTTTTGTCACATGTTTATTTTCCTCGTTTAAAATATTAAAAATGTTTACAGATTAATATTTTTCTGACCCCATAAGCCTGTGGTTAATTGTTTTGAAAATATAAACAGATGTTTCAATATAATGTTTCTGATAATTTCTCTGTGTTTTTATTTTTCAAGATTTTACTGCAAATGTCACATCCATAACACTGGAATTGCACAAAATTGATTGAATTTTATTTTTAGAATCACTAATGAAACTTAACAAAAACATTCTCTTAAATTGTTTCTACACGTTCAATTAACATAAATAAAACATTATTTTTTTCAGGTTGCTGAAGCTAAAGTTTATGCGTACTAGAATGGAGCAAGATCACGAAACCAACGTCCTTCGTGACCGTTTCTGGAGGACACAATTATTCAATCAAACTATGGATCTACCATAACAGTCAATAACATATGTGTTACATGAGATTATCCTTTCAATAATCCAATAATCCAATCCAATAATGTCCAATCATGCTGGTTAATCTCCCAAAACTATAGCAGGTTTCTAATAGTTTCCATCATGTGATTTGCATTTGAATATGTGGAGGCGGGAATTAATGAGGTAGGACAGGACTGACTTTACCTCGAGTACATTTCATACAGATTACAAAACCAGAGAACATTTCTTTTCAAGTGCAGTTGGATCAATTAAAAGTAGATATTTCAAGTTTTAGACTGGGTTGGCCTGTGAGGCAAGTATTCGGTGTGTTTGCTGACCCTAGAGGCAGGGCACTGCACAGGGGTATGGCCCGGTGGCTAGAGCCACTGCCCCTCTGGTTTATAAGAATAACGCTGCAGAAACTTTCATAGAGAACACCAGTCTGGACGGAGCCACTTCTCTGCTTTACTGATCGATGATTGGCTCCTTTATCAGAACCAAGGACTTCTGTCGCTAGAGTAGAGCTATTGAAAGTCAAACTTTTCCCCATTTGAAACTGTATGAGTGACACTTCTTGAGTACTATTGTCTTTGTTATTTATTAGCCAGTGCTTATTTGTTAAAAATATAATAGTTAATATTTAATAAAGGGTATAATATTTCAGACAGGCTAGCAAGATCTTGACCGGTCTGGAAATTAGTGCCAGTTTGCAGTATGAAAATTAATGCATTTAATGGATTAAATTTTAAAACTGCTTAAAATTTTAAATAAAGTTAAAATATTGAGTTTGTTCAGATATTTGTCTAATATTTGTTTGTTTTACAGCAACATCAACAAGCATGTAGATGTAAAAAGTAAAAAGTAAATAGTACTCCACATTGTGTTGACACTGACATCAAAAAAGTTATTTGCAAAATCAGTAATTAGTAAAGCCAAAAGTATTTTTGTGCATACGTTAGTGTATAGAGACAGCTTTTTTAAATTAGACCCAACTTGATGATGTGCTCAAACATAGGTGCTCAACACATACAACCTGGGACTCCAATAACATCATGTAGATAACCAGACTATGATTGTTTCTCAATTTCCAAGAACGGACAGCGTTCTCGTGGAGAGCGATCTAGCCAGGTTACCTTAGAAGAATAAACTCAGGAGATCGAGAGAACACAAAACGCGTCCTGTGAGAAATGACATGCTGCGTTCTTCCTGATGGTCACTTGACTTTTATGTATTTTTAACAGAAAATTATTTAGGCATTTCAGCATTACTGCAACCATTTATTGTTTTCGCCTTTTCAATACATAACAGGCATAAAAACCTTTTCAGCAAATAAACACCCTTAATGTGTTTATGCCTTTATTAAGATTTCAATGTTAATGTTAACTTTCACAGTCTCGTTTAGGTAAACTCCTGAAATAAATAACTTATATTTCTTTAATTATAAATCTATATAAAATGCTGTACTTCCCACCTTCTTTATTCAGTCGCAATGTATTCTGGGACTTCTAGAGCGAGTTCGGTGCCCAAGTCTGCATCCACGCGTCCTCGATATCAAGAACACATCAAATTTTAATGTGTTGACAGGGTTCAACAATAAGGACCGCCCAATGGCCCGGGGCCAGTGTGAGAGATGCTCGGGACAGTAGACAGAATCGTTACTGGCCCAATCGGGTCACTACATTTCAATTTGCCTGCTACTATTTTTTATTTGTGTACAAAAACAGTCTTAGAATCGAGAAACTATTTGTTCTTTTAAGTCTTTGAATGCTACCTTCTCTATGATGTCGTAAACACCATATTGCTTTTCGTTTTCTTATATCTGATTGGATGTTGTGAGTACGTTATTTTTTTCATTACCTGGTAAAAACTAGTACAGCAAAGAGACGGCAACCTGACGTCACATCAAAATATGAGGCTAACAGAAAACGTCTGTTGACATGGGTACAAGACGATGTGGGTTACAAAAAAGAAGTGATGTTTTGCTTGGTTTGCCGTCACTTTTAAGTCAGTCACTTTTTGTTTTGCAATAAAATACCTGCACATTTTCCATACTGCTAAATTTTACTGCTAAATATTTTAACATTTCTAAAATATTTAAATTATGGATTCACAGAAATTATTTTTGACACATTATTTAAAATATGAGGCTAAGAAATAGCAATTCACTTTTTTTTTGGTGGGGCCAGTGAAAACGTTGTCAGGGCAGGTAAAAATCTGAACCACTGGTCCAGTCGGCCCAGTGGAAATAATCCTAAACGCTGAACCCTGGTTGAGTTTTGAAACTAAACAATGACGATTGATGATGCCGTTAAACGAGAACACGAGGACGCAAGATCGCAGAAGAATGCATATTGAGAATCAGCCAGTGACCAAACATTAGCAAATGCTACTCAGCTAACTTTTGCTAGCTGGTAAAAATCTAACAACAACTTTGCCAGCTACAATTCCTTGTTCAACCATCAAGCATTTGTGACTGACAGCATGTGCGCACGCACGCACACACGCACGCACGCACGCACACACGCACACACACACACACACACACACACACACACACACACACACACTTTTAATACAACACATAGCTGTTATCCTTCTTTCATCATATAAAAGGTTATACCAGCAACCACTAGCTAGCTATACTCTACTACCCATTCTAATTTCTTCAAGGATCCAGCGTTTTTGACAGCATGCATACATGAACACATACAGTATTTATGCCCATTGTATGATATGTAAACATATCAACTCATCATTTTTAAAAAGCTTAATCAATACAGCAACCGCAACATTTCCAGCTACAATGTTTTCCATAATGTCTTTCTCAATCTACACATGTATTTGAACCTTAAGTTTAATCATCAACAATACAAATTTGGCATATGAGGTAGAAAGAAAGAGGGTAGCATTGGTAACCACTAGCGAGCAAGCTGAGAAAAACTACCCACTACTTTGCCTGTCACAATTCCTTCATCAACTATAAAGCATTTAAAGCTGACAGCGCTAATCCACTACAAATGAACTAATGAGAAACTTCAATGAGAAATAAGCCAGGTTAAATAAAGCTCAAACACCCTTTATAAGCATTGTATGTTTACTCCACAGACGTCTTGGCGCATTACTGTCAACACTTTTCAGTTTGTTTTTACAAATCAAGGTACGAGTCAAATTTGTTACAAACCTGGATGATCTCAAAACATTGCTAACACCCCTATCATTTAGCATGAACTGGAGGCTAATGCTTTCCATAAAAATTACCACTCTTTTCCTTTAAGTCTGACTAGGTAAAAACACATTCAAAGGGCTTGAATCCAAAACAAGTCACATTGGTTCTTTCTATCTGGTTGCATCATACATTGAGATGGTACCCAGACATATCAGGGAGGGTTTGACTCCATGTTTCTCCCATAATCCCTCACACAAAACAATAACAACTTCCACAATATTTCAGGTTGGCTCATTTGGTGTAGCTATACCTTCCCTCACACATCTACTGGTTTAGAGAACTCTTTCCCTTTTCAAAATAACAAACAAAAGCTGTGTAACACTGTGTAACTATGCACAATACTGCACTAAATATAACTAAAATTGCTCTGAGCATAGTTGATTTTCAATGTATAGCTATTAGAACCTGCATTTTGGAGCAATTGGATTTTTCAGTGAGCAGGGCTACAGCACAACACATAAACAGAAGAGATAAACAAAATAATCCGCCATGCACTGATAAATGCAGTCAGATGTCAAAGATAGCATTTACAATCTGGAAATATGGTCCTTATAAGCATTTAGGACACCACATTTATCGAAACAAAAAATATGAATGCAAATAAGCCCCAAAGTATATGCATTGATTTATGAGGACTGTTTAAATATAGATTCAAGTTTACTTACACGGCACAGTCCGGAGGTAGAGGTTGTCACGTATGATTTGCTGAAGTTCGTGGTCCACTGAACCTTTCTGGAACCGTAAATTGAGATAATGGCGGAGATCTTTATCCACAACACCTCCTGAGGAATGTAAACAAAAAGCACCAATAAGTTAACTGGTAAATGCAAAACCTAAGACGATTAAGTTCAAATGTGCAATTCCATTTATTCACTATTTTTCTGGCATTTGGCTGACAGGTTATCCAGCCCTGTTGGTAATGTAGGACTAAGAAGGAAGGAAGGTGGGAAGGAAGGAGGAAAGGAAAGAAAGGAAGGAAGCAAGAAAATTAGGGCTGCACGTATAATCGAAAAAAAAAAAGATCACAATCTCGATTCGACCCCCACACAATCTAATCCAACATTTCAACGATTTAGCCAATTATATTTTCAAGTTCAGGAGAAGTATAAAGGAGGTCTCACAAGTCTTCACATTATTTTAAATACGTTGCTGCTAAGCAATGTGGTGGGGCTGCACGATTAATTGGAACATGTAAAATGCGATCTCGATTCAACCATACACACGATCTCAATTAAGCTTTTCTACGATTCAGCCAATGTTTTATATTGCCTACATTCAGCAACATGGACACCTTCAAATGATGTTAAGAGTGTCACATACTATATTTATAAGGTATAATTAATCCAAAAATGCTATTTCTGTCTTAATTTAATGACGTATTCGTGGCTGCGAAATGACAAGTGAGGTGACGCACTGTTTGTTTACTACAGAGAGGACGCATACATGCCCGTGATTGATGTTTACTTTAGTGAACAGAAACTGCATAGGCCAGGGGCAGACTGGCCATCTGGCAGACTGGGCACTTTCCCGGTGGGCCGACGTACTTTTTGGGCTGGGCTGATCATCGTCTTATCATCTGATCGGCTCATAAAAGGCTTAGCAGCCTATCGTTTTTTTCTGCCTTATTAATTGACGCTGCTGTGATCTCTGTGACTCTCTGAAAGTAAGATGCTTTTTTTCCCGGACAGACAGACCGGGCCGGCCCATTTGACACTCTGCAGCCCATTGGCTCTTTTCTGTATTGACACTGGCCTGGCCCAATCACAAACTCCTATTTTGGACTCCGTGTGAGCGTGCGTCGTCTGTGTGTATTTGTAAAAATAGTCGAGAGTCAGAGAGAAGAAACGCAAGGGAGGCGCAGAGAAATCGCGGGAAATACACCGGCGTTTCATTTAGCGGTTCTGAAAAGTTCTCTGTTCATTCTAGTACACGGCTAAAAACGCAAATCACGTGACCACACACATGCGCACTCTCTGCCAAGAGCTGCAGCCAGTAGTTCAGCGGGTGAGCATAAACCCCAGGTGAGAGTATAGTGCATGTCAGACAGTTCATCTGCTGGATCTGATCTCACTATAGTTGTTAAACGTGATATTGAATTCATCTTGTTGTCTCTATCTAACAACTCTTATGTCTTTTGAATCACTTGTTCTCAGGTAACTCTGTTTTGGCTGAGTGCAAAGATAAGCTAATATATTAATTTATGTAACCACATACACTGATTCTGCACATTGACTGATTGATTACCTTTATCATTTAAATTCATTGTACGTTATACTGTTATAATGGCCATTATTGATTATTAAAACTAATATTCTGCAAAAGAGACAGGGTAAAGCTTGTTCTTTTTAATGAAAATGAAAGGAGGCAGATATATTTAGGCCCTACTTTGTTATAAATATGCAGAGTGAAGATGATGCTCATATAAATATATAGTTACACAAGGCTGTTTGGTGTCTGTTAATCATAATATCAAAATGAAACAAATTTGACTTATATTATGTTTTCATTGTTTAGATAGTGAAACAGCAAGCAGGATGAGGTGAATGAGGTTATAAAGTACACTGTTCCCTTTGAATATTTGCCCATGCATTAGCAGGCAGTTTTTTAATGTTTATTATTGAATATAGGCTGAGTGAATAGTGTATTAAATAAGCTAAATTGGCTGTAGTGTATGAGTGTGTGTGAATGTGTGTGTGGATGTTTCCCAGAGATGGGTTGCGGCTGAAAGGGCATCCGCTGCGTAAAAACTTGCTGGATAAGTTGTCGGTTCATTCCGCTGTGGCGACCCCGGATTAATAAAGGGACTAAGCCGACAAGAAAATGAATGAATGAATGAATGAATGAGTGTATTTTTTTAGAACTCAACAAATATCTTTATGGACAGTATACAGAAATTAAATTGAGATTAAAGTTTGTATTTATTTATTTCATATATATGGCTTTTGTGTTTTATAAAATATGAGTTGATAAAAATATTGGACGTGCATAGATAGATAGCATTTTGATTGAATGTAGTGGGCCGCTCTGGCCAAAAATGCCAGGGCCGATTTTTTGCCCCAGTCCAGCCCTGGCATAGGCTGCAAATAACAGGCAATAAAGTTGTAAATAACATTTGAGAGCCACACAGGAAGTATGATTTCCATGTATGTTTTTATTTTGTCAAAGTGAAGGGGATCATGACATGAGCGCACTCGGCAGTGAAAGTGAAACCGAAAGCACGCACATAATTTAAATGATCATATGGCATTTTAGAGTAATGATTACGACAAGCATTTGAAATGTTTTTCTTCATAGCGAACACAAAGTGTTGCGCATGAGAACAAATCTTTAACAGTGTCATTACAACTACTCTAGCCTATGTACGTATTGTTGAATATAATGCAAGAACTAATCTGATAATGACAAATGTCTAATTTTACCAGTGATGAAATGGTCTAATAATGCTGTCAATGATAGATTGTAAGCATTTGTCTCAAAACAAAATTAATTCAACATAAGAATTATGAATAGTTGTATTCTGATGTCATCACTTAACTGTGCATTATTGACCAGGGCAAATTTAGAGTCTGTTCAAGTCCACCATTCTAGGTCTATACAAAATTTAGCAGTTTTACCAACACTAGACCTACACATAGGCCTAATATTATTGATGTTTTACCATACGTTTGAGAAATAACAATAATAATAGCTCACTCATATTAACCTTTATTTTACATCTACAGAACCGTGAGAAAATTGTGATCTTGATTTTTAAACAAATATGGAGGAAAGAAAGGAAAAAAGAACAGAATGAAGAAAGAAAGAAAGAAAGAAAGAACAGAAGGAAGAAAGGAAGGAAGGAAAGAAAGTATGAACAGAAAGAAAGGAAGGAAGGAAGGAAGGAAGGAATGAAGAACAGAATGAAAAAAGGAAGGAAAGAATAGAAGGAAGAACAGAATGAAGGAAGGAAATAAGGAAGGAAGGAAGGAAGGAAGAAAGGAAAGCAAAGCAGAGAAATAAAGAAAAAAAGAAAGGTAAAAAAGAAAAAGAAAGGAAGGAAGGAAAAAATAAATGAAAGAAGAACAGAACAAAGAAAAAAAAGGAAGGAAGGAACTAGGGAAGGAAGGAAGGAAGGAAGGAAGGTAGGTAGGAAGGATGGAAGAAAGGAAAAAAGGAAAGGTGGGGAAGGAAAAAGAAATAGAAAAGAAAAAAAGAAAAAGAAAAGAAAAAGGAAGGAAGGAATAAAGAACAGAATGAAGAAAGGAAAGGAAGGAAGGAAGGAAGTGAATGAAAGGAAAGAAAAGGAAAGGAAATGAAAGGGAAAAAAGAAAGGAAAAGGAAGAAAGGAAGGAAAGCAAAGGACAGAACAAAAGAAGGAGAGAACCAAGGAAGGACGGAATGAAGGAAGGAAAAAAGGAAAGAAGGAAAGATAGAAGGAAGAAGAGAAGGAAGAGAAAGCAAAGAAAAGGAAAGAAAAATAAAGAAGAAGGAATAAAGGAAGGAAGGAATGTTTAAAGGAATAAAGAAATGCAAAAAAAATAAACATCCAAACATGATTTATTTATTAAACAAACAGTAATGTGCAGTAATGTGCCATAATAAATGATGTTTAGAATATAGACTGGCATGTTTGGAGGAGCAGAGTTCCAAAAGGTTCACTCTTAGGTCATCACAAATTGTTGATAAATAAATAATAATTAAATTAAATTAATATATAATATAATATAATATAATATATTAATAATAAATCAATGAAAAATAAAAACAATAAATATCCCAAAATATGTCCACAATATTAAGTTAGAACATGCATTTTGGATCAGCCGAGTTCCACAAGTTTCACTCTTAGGTCTTTATAAATTCTTTTTGTTTTCAAGCCTCTCAAACACTCTCAAACAGAGCACGTGTCATTTAGCATTAGCACATCCTCTCTGTTGAGTCTGAAGATGTCACATTCACACAGGTGACTTTAGATATTGCTCAACAGTTCAGCAACATTTCATTTGCATAGATGTATTCATCACAACAACACGATTCCCTAAAGATTCACATCCAACAGACTGTACTGTCTCACTAGCTTGTCATCAAATGCTCACCAACAACATCATGAGGCACCCAGAGACACCAAGACAACTGCTAAAAATAAAAACTAGCTTGAATAGATCAGCTTTCCACCTGAACAAAATCATGACAAATCAAAATCACACATCATCTCGCATTGCTGAGGCTCAAGAGAGCAAGACACCGCTACATTCTTCCTCTCTAGCTTCACTCATAACCTTGACCATAAGGCACAGCTGAGCACGGATACACTCGGATGCATACTTGGGAATTCAAAAAGCCAGAACACACCGGTATGTGAAAGGATCGTTTGAGAATAAACGTGACAGACGTGAACCTGCACACCATTTTACAAGTTCAGAATGCATTACATCTCATTGTCACCGGTAAACAAAGGCAAAACCAATTCACGGAAATCGGTTTTCCTTTCTAATATCAATGTAATTCCGAAATATAAATCCAGAAGGATCAACACCTAAAAAAGATTACATTATCAAAATCCAGCAAGACATTTGGAATGGAGATGGTAAGCGACACCAAAAAAAAAAAAAAAAGCAACAATCAATCTTGCACAGCTGTTGCGGCGGAAAGGACACATCGGAATACCGTCACACCATTAACCACCAACCAAAACATCTCACAAAGTAGACTCATCTTCATTCACCGATCCTAAATAAATATATCACTTGTCAACATCCATGATTACAACGGCTCCCTCCTCCCCCTCTTTCCCCCATCAAAC